TTCTCAGATGCTCACATCATAGCTACTTAAAAAAATATGGCCTGTCTAGGTGTTTCTTGGGAAAATAGCTCTGGTGTGCTCTGGATTTGAGGGGATGGACTTTACACCCCCTGTCCCCAGATGACCTGTAGACCACCATGGGCTTACAATCAGAGGGATGTTTCACATGATACATGTGGGTGACTTTTAATGTTCTATCTCCTTTCCCTTCACTTTTCCTTTCCACTAGAGCAATGGTTCTTAAAATGTGACCCAGAGACTCTCAGTGATCCCTAAGCTCCACTTAGCTGTGCTCCCAACCAGCCAGGTAAAACCTGTTCCATGGTAATATTGAGAGGATGGCCATTTCACTACTCTTACCTTCTCACAAGCACCTATAGGGTGCTGTGGGGGGTTGACAGCTTTAATATTTGGAGATCTTGGGGTTTTAAAGATACTTTATGTCAGCATTTGGAAGATTTGTATAGCCCAGGGAACTAAAGTTTTGCAAAGGATCACTTCAGGATACCGTCATTCATGGGATAAGGGTCACAGGAACAGAGCAAAGGATTTTAGTATAATGAGCGGCACGCAGAAGCTACTGGGAGAGTTTCAGATTCCAGAGTCCAATTACACATTCAAAGTTGCCACTGCTCAGCTAAGAACAGCACAAAGGACGAGCATCCAAAATGATCTGAAAAGGCTGCAGAATCCTCCTTTTTCCAGTTCTGTATCTGCATCAAACTGCATTTGACTCAAATACTTCGAATGATATATTGCAACAGACTTAGTACACCCATCAGCAGGACTGATACCCCAGCTTGATTAACGCTCAGTTAAAGAGAATGCAAAGTGTAACCAAGCCTACTTTCTTCTCCACTATTTTCATTTTCAAAATAGTTTATTAAAAATATAATTTATTTTAATTGTATGATGGGTTTATTTACTATTTTTAAATAAATATCTTAAATACATTTTATATTAAGATAGGCTGAGATGCATTTTTTTAAAAAACTAAAAGCTCTTTGGGGGCCTCAAATACTTTTACATTTATTTATTTGTGAGTATGTGTGCACAGCTTGTGCAGTCAGCCAACTCTTTCCATCATGTGGATTCCAGGAACTGAACTCAGGTTGTCAGGTTGGCAGTAAGTGCCTTTATCCACTGGGCCATCTCAGTAGGCCCCCAATAATTTTTAAAGACACAAAGGTGTCCTAGACCATAAAGGCTTGAGAACTGCTATAAGGGAATAAATAAAATACTTCGCCAAAAAAATTAGTTTCAACATAATATGTTAAGAAATGCCAGAATCCCTGAAAACTGAGAGAAATGGGAACAGAATGGGTGGGTAAGAGATGTCAGGAGATAAGAACAGAGAGGAAACTGGCACATACCTGTACTATGCTGTGGGAAAACTGAAGGTACATTCACTGTTAAAACAACAGGAGAGATGACCACATATGAGTACATAGGTGCGAGCTACAAGGCAAAGATGGCTGGGAACACAAGTCCTTTTTTCTGGTTTTGTTTGGTTTTTCAGTCTGTTTGAGACAGGGTCTCCCTGTAGTCCCAGCTGGCCTGGAACTCACTATGTAGATCAGGCTGGCCTGGATCTCACGAAGATTCATTTGCCTCAGACTCCCAGTGCTGGGATTAAAGGGATGTGCCACCACACCTGGCCCTAGGAGCACAAGTTCTAGCTAGAGCAGATGAACTTGTGTCCGAATCTTGGCTCTAACCCTACTAGTGACATAACATGGATAAACTGGTCTCTCTAGGTCTCTGTTTCTTCAGTTACTCTTCCGAATAAAACCAAAGAAACTTCAGGAGAGCCCTAGGACAAGGACTATGACTAGCATGTGGGACACCTAAGTAAGTCTTGGCAGTCAGCCATGGCCTCTAGGAAGCTACAGTTTTGTTTTTTTTTTTTTTTCAAATGGAAAAATTAGAGGAAGTGAACATTTTCATGCAAAGCAGGACATCTCAGAACCCAGTTTTATTTTTTGAGCTAGGGAGCAATCAATGCGACTCTGTGCTACAGCTTATAGATTAATCAGAGACTATTCAACAGACAAGAGCTAGGAGCACTGAGGTATTCATTAAGGAGCTCAGTGGTGGTTCTGAAGACAAGGACAGAATCACAACAAAGCTGCAATCACATTTCCCCAGAAGAGGCCAGACTAGGAGAAATGTGATGTGAAGGTGAGACAGAGGTGGCTGTGGGCCACAACCGACCTCCTAGAGGTAATTAAATCAGATCTCTAAGAGTTCTGCATTTGATTGGCCAACAGTATCTGAATGATAACCATGGATATAAAAGTGGGCTTTAGGATGTTAAGAGAGGAGAGGATATGGAAATAAACGCATGTGGATAGGGTACACACAGGAAAGAGCCACAAGGAAGCACGACAGGGAGATGAGTGAGGACCTCTACCTGGGGGAGGGAGTCAGGGAAGGTTCTTGGCAGAAACATGTGAAGAACAACAATGATGTGGACACTTATGGACGGGACAACAGGGCATCTTAGAGCATTTCTAGAGCAAACCACAGAAGGCAGAAAACAAGTATCATATACGAGAAGCACCTCATGCTCCATTCTGGGTTAAGTGCTAGGTGCCTGCTGGGGCCCAGTGTCTGGGGACTGAACGGTAAGTTGGATCTGTATCAGGGAGGGGATGTCATGAACCTTATGAAAAAGAATCAGACAATTAGCAAACAAAATACATCTCATTAGGAAAATTCTTTCTTTTTCTTAATAACTATTCTGAACTGTCAATAGTCTCTTCGATACCCAACTCAACCTCTCAGTTCCTTTGATAAGATTTAAAAACTTCTACAATCTAGAAAAATTAGACTGTCAGGGGTCATCTTCCTGTGTACAAACACCCACCAACCCTCATCTATTCTCCTGAGGTTTCAAGGGATAATTCCTGCCAATGACTGCATCCATTTCCACAACTTCCGAGACAGTGACCCATTCCTGTTTTGCTGTGCTCCCTCTCTAATCTGACTCGTCTCTCTTTTCCCTCTCCCCTATTACAAAAATGCTTATTTTCACCTATACTCTTTCTTGTATGTATTGTTTTCTTGAGACAGGGTCTTCCTATGTAGTCCAGGTTGGCCTTGAACTTGAGATCCTCCTGCCTTGGCCTCCTGAGTGCTGGGATCACAAGCATGTGCCACTATGGCAAGCTTTCATACATACTCTTTAAAGAAGTGCAGAGGAGGAATCAATGCTTACTATCGCTATTTCAATCCATCTTCACTCTGCATTGAGGCATGCCACCACAGGTCCTCAGTGACTTTCTGTTGCCAGATCCGAGAGGCACTTCCAGTTCTAACTTACTAGGTATCTCTGTTCAATTTCAGCCACTGATCATTGCTCTGTATTCCCAACCTTTCTACTTGCAGCTTCACAAACGCACTGTTCTTAGCACCTCTGATGGCCACTCATCCATTTTCTTCCATGAGACTCCACCTCCTACTCCCATGAGTACCACCAGTCAAGTCTCTGGCCTGTGTTTTCACACCTGATAGGTTTTGAGTGATACCATCAAGCCTCATGGTTCTAGAGTTGAGTGCTCAGCTTAGGATCTCCCCCCTGACCTATAACTACTGACTGTTCTTATGCCTGAAAGACACTTGCTTATTTAAGTAACTCAATCTTGGGATGTCTAAGTTGGAATATACTTGTCTTTTAAACCTGGAACATCTTTTTTTTTTTTTTTTTTTTTGTCCCTGTGGTGCTCTTCTGTCTTCTCTACACACACACACACACACACACACACACACACACACACACACACACCTACCTGTGACTAATTTCTGTTTATCCTTTAAGCCTTATTCAGAAATTATCTTCCCCAGAAAATCTCTGCTGAAGTTGCTGGTTCTGGCACACCTCTCCAAAACACCCCTAAGTATACTTCAATTATGGAAAAATATATTATGCATATGTGTATTCTTTTAATGTATCTGGCTTCCCCGCTGTACTGTAAGCTCCCTAGGATAAGGCTGATGTTTAACCACCTCTTGATCTGTAGGACCTAGGACCATTCTTGACCCTCAGTAGACACTCCATAAATTCTCAGTACACGAACAATGAGAGTCACAAGTGAATAGCTGACAGCATAAAACAGAAAAAGAGAGGGAGAAAGACTAGAGAGACCACAGCTGAGGTAGGCCGTCCAGTTGGAGAACTCCTGAGAGGTCAATCAGAACACAAAGAAGGAGCATGAAAGAGTCTGTCAGGATGAACGAACAGAATGGCCAAAGACGTACTTGGGAGGTGAGAGATGCAAAGGCAAAAAAAGACATGGGACACACTGGCATTCCTAGTAGCGATGCTCTATTCTATACCTATACAGTCTGTGGGATTTCTTCAAAGCGGGGAATTAAATTGCCTAAAATTTTTTTTTGTGGTGTTCTTTAAAATCCAAAGGTGACGACCATGGTAAAATATCAAAGGTGATACTTACAGCAATAAAATGCTGAGTAGGTACTGAGTAGGTCAGCGTTCTCCCCTTTATTAGTTTCCTCATTTACTAAAGTTTGTTAAAAGAGGCTTTCAATAGATTATGGACTAATTTATCAGCATATTGTACAGCTACCATATGTACAATATAGCTTCAGTAATCAATGACTAGAAATTGCCATGCTCAAATAAGATGTCCTAAGGACCTCCACAATTATTACTCCTGACAATCACATGCAATACTTTAAACAGTGATGCCAGGTACTGAGCCACTAAGAGGAGAAAAGTTCTTCCTGATGTTTTGGAACTGGAGGCCTGCTAGTATGACGCAATCCTGCCTAACAAGATCATACAGCCTAAGGCTGTCTTTTACACCACAGGAGGAAAGACAGGATCAAAGAGTCCCCAAGGCTTCCAGCTAGGGGAAGGCAATGTAGAGCATGGAGAGGAAAGGCAGGTGCAGGGATGGGTCTGGGGGTTGTGTGGCCAAGTTGAGAGTAGGAAAAGCAGAATTCTTTAGGTTTATTTGGGCCAGTGCAAAGTTTACCTGATTCATGATGGAAAATTTCCTCCCTATTCTGTTATCTGGCAGCCGGAACTTTCTTCGCATGCCATCTTCTGACTCTGACTTAAACACCTTCTCAGGATCTCCTTTCTCTTCTCCTTCAGAGAGCTCCTTCTGCCTCTTCTTCTTTCTTCTGTTACGTCTTTCCTTGGCACTCTTTGAACTGAGTTTAGAAATTTCAGATGAGCTCCGTGGAGAGCCGACCCCATCTTCACCTTCTTCTTCAATGGCATCTTCTGAGACAGTGCCTGCTGAAGTGGCCATCGCAGCAGCCTAGGGAAGGGGGCAGAGCAACAGAGCAGGTCAGAAGCACTGTCTGCGGACACCCAAGTAAACCACCAAGGAACCATTTTCTCCACAGAAAGGAAGGGAGGGAGCCCAGCCTGCAGGAGGAAGCTGCCTCCACTTTCTAGATGAATTTGCATCTTGGCACACAGCCCTAAGTGATCAGAGAACCCAGTGCTGAGCATGTTGGGATTCATTCTTCTGAGTATCTCAGATAAGGACCTGGCTGCTTTCGTGGTACCAAAGGATTCCATACTGTGCAATAATGGAATGAAAGCTTAGAAGCTATATCATATATCATGGGGTCAACAAAGCAAAAATACATGTGTATTAGGAGAATCAGAGAGTTAAATATCAGAACAGTGGAATCACAAGTCTGTCTCCAAATTTTATTTTAATTTTCTGTATCTTCTGTTTGTTTATTTTGAGAAAGGGTCTCCCTGTAGTCCCAGCTGGCCTGGAACTCACTATGTAGACCAGGCTGGCCTCGAACTCACAGAGATCCACTTAGCCCTCATATCTTCTTTTTAATTAGAAATAATATTCTATGGCCAGAGAATCCATCAAGAAGATCCTAATATTTTTCTCAACCAAAAAGTGGCTACGTTTGGGACTGGGGATCTAGCTCAGTAATAAGAGTACTTGTGCCTAGGATACACAAAGTTGGGCTTAATCTCCAGCACCAAATAAATAAGCAAACAAACCAACAAATTAATGAAAGGCTATGCTTAAATGAAACACTATATAAACTACTCAACTTTTTCTTCCTAGTCATCATAGAAGTTGAACACTGAAGGGCTGAAATACATAATAAAAGATCAACTGCAATGGCAGTTAGCTGGAGCCTTGGTGACCATGATCTGGACGAAGGCCTGCTGCAAGGAATCAGCCACCAACCTGTGCCTCCTCCTGCTGCTTCTTAAGCTGCTCCAGCATTGCCTTGAACTCAGCCTCTTTTTGCTCTGCCTCTTCCAGTGTTGCCTGATTCTGCTCCTCATATGCCATGGCCACCACGGCCAAGATCAAGTTCACCAAATAGAAAGAACCCACAAAGATGACCAGGACAAAGAAGATCATGTATGTTTTCCCAGCTGCTCGTAAGGTCTGTAAGGACAAAGGCTGTTCCCTCAGTTACTTGCATCAATGAAGCAGGATGGAAACACTTCATGAGTCTAGTGCCTTGGTAGGAACACCACTTGCAGTCTGAATAGGACAGTGCTCACTGTATGATAATTCTTGTTATAGAACCTGAGCGTCCCAGCAGCTGAATGTCTTTCAAATGCTTAACTCTCACCCTCCATTGTGAGAAAAAAATATTCATAGAAAAATACTTGATTTTTTTAATGTAATATTTTTATTCATTCCCTGAGGATTTCATACATGGGCATAATATATTTGTAATGTAGTCACCACTCACCCCCAACTTCCCCAACTCCTTATCTAAGGCTTTTTTTCCCTAGACGTTTAGTTAGGTACTTTACATTTTCTGCAGGGCACAAGTGAAGGTAACCGGGGCTGCAGAAGAGGAATAGAAAAATGACAGAAAACCTCTTGGTACCTGGGAGTGGGAGAGGTCCAACAATAGGGCCAGTGTGCCTCGGACCACGTACACAGTCAAGACCTTAGCTGGCCATCAAGAGAAGGTCTCACGATGTGGTCCTGGCTGGCCTAGAACTTGCTGTGTAGATGAGACTGACCTCAAACTTGCAGCGATCCTCCTGCTTCTGCCTCTTGAGTGCTAGAATCACAGGCCTGCATCACCAGGCCTGGCTCATCTTTATTCCTTCAGTTAACAAGTATTTAATGAATTTAGTGCCAATCACAAATTTTTTATGAAGTAGATTCAAACCTGAGGGCATTCTAGTTCAACATTAAACATTGGTCTAGGGATTTGAACTAGAAGCTTCCCTTAAAGATTTTCCTTCATGCAAGATGAAGCATGTTTCTTATTCTCTAACTAACTGGTATCATCAAATACCAGAGTGAAAGAGAAAGCAATGGATTGTCATGAAATTTAACTTGGCAATTAGCCACACTAACTTCCCCATTGCAACCTGTAAAATTACAGGACACCCAAAATTATCAGTGTGGCCAAATGAAATGGCTACTGGCCTCATTTAATACACACAGCTTGCTGGAAAAAACTCCAAAAGGAAATACACTGCAGATGGTGAGACAAGAGAAAGTAAGTAGGGCAGCAAATTCCCAACCCAGTCTAAGGCTGTCAAGACTGCAAGCTTCTAAGTTGTCCATGACTAAGCATTCAAGACACAGGGCTGAGCGCTAGGCAAATTCACTTATACTGTAAGCCAGCTGACTATGGGAAATGCCATCTTCAGATTCTGTTTAAAATGTTCATGAAAGGTCTCTCACACAGAAAGTCTCCAACTCCACATAGCTTCATGCCAACTCTATCATAAAGAAAAAGAGGTATTACTTACCAACTGATACAAGTTTTCCCAATAGTCCTGGGTCATAAGGCGAAATAATGCCAGGAAGGCCCAGCTGAAAGTGTCAAAGCTTGTGTAACCATAGTTGGGGTTCCTTCCTGCTTTCATACACTGGTATCCCTCTGGGCATTGCCTGAAGAAAGAAAGGGACACCACTGGGATGGGATGTAGCTCGGTGGAAGAGCACTAGTATAGTAAGCACAGTCCCTGGGTTTGATTCCTGGCAACACACATTCACTCAGAAAGGAGGTTCAGGATTTTTCAACCTAATTCTACCCAGTCATGACCTTGGAGATAATAAATAACTCAAACCCATTTATTCTATGACTTTGGAGATAAAAAGAGCCATGTATATATACAGCCAGGACAACAAATTCGGAAGAAAAATAAACACAAAGAAAAGGGGGAATCAGAATTAGCTGGCTGTTCTTTTAGAAATGCAGAGTGCTACGTCCTACTCAAAACTTAGGCACTGAACACTCTGGAGATAGGAATCTATGGATCTGCATTTTAAAGAGATATGCCAGGTGGTTTTACGCATGCCAAAGCATGAGAACCACTGTCTTGGATCCATATCAACGTACAACTCAATCGCATTTAACTTAGCTCCATCGTAGATGACAGGTATTTAGAGGTCGTCTTTGTTCTCTGTGTTCTGTCCACTCTTGCTGTGATAACCTGAGTCTAGAGATTTCAGTGGCCTGAATTACACAAGGTCTTCTGCCTTTTGACTCATCTGATATCTCTTTTGATGTAATTTCTAGTATCTACTTCAATATAGTATTTAGCTGGATTTCTAATTATCATGGTCACATTAAAACACCAGATCCTAGGGGATCACTATACTTTAAGTGACCATCCTATATTTGAATAGCCCTATGCTTACAAAGTACCTCCATGTATGTTATTTAACTGGCTTCTTACAGTAACCTTGCAAGGAAGAGAGAGCATAGCTTATTGAATCTATTTCATGGATGAGGAAATTGAGGCTTGGCTAGATTAAATGGCTCAGCAAAGGGCTTAGAGCTAGAAGTAGAATTAGGACTTGAATCTTGTGTTGTTACTATCCTTCCCCCATACTGTCAGATCTAGTACATTCTGGGCCATCTTTGGATGCTAAAGTCTCACCAAGACAGTGTCCTTGTTTCATATTGTATTAACTGTGTTAAGATAGGATGAGAGAATCTGCAAGAGGAAGGTAAGCTATTTGGTGTTACAGATTTCCTCCTGGTCTTTTTACATCTTTGATTTTAGCTTAAGACTACAGGCACATTTACCTACTAGTGAAATGTCAACTTTGGACAGAAAAATATGAAACAGAAAGAAAATCTGAGTCAGCAATAGGTCAGACCCAATTGTGGGGTCCATTATGTGAACACAAAGAAAAGTGAAAATACTGCCCATTTTGATCCCACTAATAATAGGCACATTATTTTAAGGAAGGAGAACAAAATTAGGTGAGCTACTTACCCAGCATCAGAACTGTTCCCACAGAGTAAAGGTTCTAGCATGCCAGGAACCGTGTAAAAATTTGCTAGAAAAGTTCGAAGAGGCAGGAAATGAATAGGCAGAATTCAGAGAATGAGAGAATAAGGTTATATTGTCCCTTACTCGCCCCAGCAGAAGCAGCTATTGATCTTTAGCTCATATAAATCTTTCCCAACAGCAGTGAAAGCTGATGAGAATTCCTTCCTTAATGATTTTCTTATATACATTTACAAACTTGAAGTACTATCCTATACCCTCTGATGGAATACTCTCTTCACAGGCACCTGACTTCCCAGGCTCTGGTATTTGAAAGGGTCTAAAGTAAGTTTCTGAGTTCTTCATCCCTTTGTATAACTCTATCCTTTTATCCTTGTAACATTTTTATCAAGATGTTCTAAAACTTCTCACTAGTCATTAGTTATCATGTCCTACTTTAAATCAGAAGGCTCTGCCTCTGAGATCTCCTTTGCAATGGTAGCTACTTAATTGATTTTATTTCTCTGGAGTGACTAATGGTGATTTTTTTGTTAATAGAAATATCATTGCACCAAATTTTCATTAATGCAAGACCCCAGTGCTTTAGTTCCTCAAATGAATTACTGAAGCTCCCTAACTGTAGAAAGAGCAAATGATGTGTAAGAAATTGCCTGACTCCCTAGACAGGATCGATTACAAAGGTCGGTCTGACTAGTACTAAAAAACTTGGGTTCCATAAGCATATTCTGGACTAAATTTTTAAATATTTCAGATAAGCCAGCAAAGGAAACAATTTTTTATCAAGCTTCTAAGCATGAACATTAAAGCAAACATTTAGGGGGACATATGAAGCCACTCTAAGGGTTCAGTTGGTTTCCAAGGGTTGGGATTCGAGGCTTCCAGACCCTTCCTGCCTGCCTTGGGGAACAGCTGCCCGTGGCTACTTCTGGTAGTGCTGCTTCGCCTTTCTGGGCAGGACTACTTTTTACAGCCCAGGGGTGATCAAGCTTTTATTCTAGCTGTGGAGGGACCACCTACTTTTATTGTTGATATACTCCTCCCAGTCAAAGCCTTTGGTTCCATTTTCAAGATAGCTCTCATTGAAGTTTATGGGCCACACAACACACTTGTTTCGCAGGTTTCCCATGAACAGCTGCAGGCCGATCAGGGCAAAAACACTCAGGCAGAACACGGTCAAGATCATCACATCCGACAGCTTCTTCACAGACTGGATGAGGGCGCCCACAATTGTCTTCAGGCCTGAGGATACAGAGCCCCCAGAACCAGAGTCATCTCAAAGCCCTTCCTACTTGCCCCAGCCTCCCCCTTTTGGCCCTAGCTTCTACCTCTCCCCTTTGAAATACAGCCACTGCATCTTGACACGAGAACGAGTCATCAGAATTACCAGTTTCCTGAAGTGTTCATTTTTAAGCCAATAATCTTTAAAAGTCAAAAGGAAGCCTTTTCCAACAGCATTGACTTTCTCCCTGGACTTCCTTTCTTGTCTCAGATCAAAATGAGCCAGGCTGTGTCTCCCCAGGGCCTTCGCACATGCTGTTCCCTCTGCCTAGATGCTCCCTTCCTCCCCATGCCTCACCTGCGAAACTCCTTCTCACCCCTCTGGTCTCAGTGTAATTCCTTCCTCCAGAAGCCCTCCTCTGCCTTCCCAACACTTCTCCCTCTCTCACCACGGTTATTTTTAGCAGCACCTTAAACTTTCCTCTGTACTATTTGTCATAGTTCTACTTCACGTTCTGTGCGTCTTGTCCACAGCTGTACCTATACTGCCTAACTTACAGTAAATATTTGTTGAATAAACAAATGAAAATAAATTCAGGAATGAAGGAGACTTCCAGGTTAGAAAGAGAACCACTTGATAGTTTACAAGTATAAGAAGCAGGAGGGTACAAGAAGATTTTCTTAAGGGCTCTGGAAATCACAATATATTAAAAAGGTTAATTATTGCCAATCCAGTATTTAGTTTAAAAATATACTTCCATTTAAAAATATACTTTCTCTGTATCACATACATGTACTGCTTGTTACAGTGATCTTTCTTTATGTCTGAAAAAAAACCCCAAAATATTTCTAACCCATTTTAATTTGGTTTTATTTTATTTGATTATTTTATTTTTGTGGTTGGTGCCTGAGATTGAACACAAAGCTTCACACAAGCTAGGCACATGCTTAACCACTGAGCTATATTAAGCCAGTCCTAACGTGAGGTTTTAAATGGAAGCCACTTGGTTCAAATTGAAACCTGAAGAAGGTAATTTCTGAATGACATATGGAGGGCTTGGTTATTAGGAGATACAGAAAATATTATCATAGGTTCATGCTGCTTGGGTCAATGAGGCTATGAACGACTCTCCTTAGCATGCCCAACATCACCTACCATAGGACATGACCCACAAAGCAATGACACCCTGGAGCATACCAGGATGAGCAAAGGCAGTCCCTGAGCCTTGACACACAGGCCTCAGGAAGGTTCTCAACAACTCTGAAGGCAAGAATACAAGTCTCACACGCTAGGAAAGCCTTGTCTTGGCTTTGCTGGACATGGTTGATTGGATCATCACTAATCCTAATCAAGAGATGCCACGTACATGCAGCACCTGAACACTGAAAATAACCCCCATGGACTCTGAGTTTTTTCACTTCCATTTTATTTTTTAAAAATATTTTATTTATTATTTTTATTTCATGTATATGAGTGTATTCCCTGCATGTATACAAGTGTGCCCCTGTCATGCGAAGGCTGCAGAAGTCAGAAGAGGGCATCGGATCCAGTTGTTGGCTACCATGTGGATGCTGGGAACTGAACCCAAGTCCTCTGCAAGAGCAGCTGGTGTTCTAAACCACTGAGCCATCTCTCTAGCCCCTTTTTATTCACTTTTAAAATGGAAATATTAAGCCAGGAGTGGTGATGCACACCTTCAATCCCAGCGCTTGGGGGAGACAGGGGCAGGTGGATCTCTGTGAATTCAAGGCCAGCCTGGTCTACATAGTGAGATCCAGGCCAGCCAAGACTATAAGACCCTGTCTCAAAAACAAAACAAAACAAAACAAAACAAAACAAAATTAAGATGGAGATACTTTAGATGAGGCTACAGCTCTGTGGTAGAACATTTGCCTAGCATAGGCAGTGCCTAGGTCTCATCTCCAACATCACCAAAGATAAATAAGTGAAGATTATCACAGTCTGAATATCAGACTGTTGTGAAGATTGAGCATGTTTCATATAACATACTTAACAAAGCACCTTGTTTGGTGAATGAGTTAAATATTAACTATTACTGTCTGAGCTTGTTTACTCATCTAAAATGATTTTCAATACCAGCTACACTGAATTATCATGTCATTTAAATAAGATAATAAACATTCAAATATTCAAAACAGTGCCTGATGCATAGCTGACATTCAGTACTTGTCACTTGTTATTATTTTATATTTATTGCCCTCCTCAAAGGGTCCTGGCTGGGATAATGCCACTGCTCATAGCTAACCCAGTATGAAGATGGTGGTATGCACATGGCTCTAGCTTTTTTTGGGGGGTGGGTATTTTGCAAGTGACTACCTAGAATGTTCAAAGTGAAGCTCAACAGAACTCAACAGGAGCAGTAGATACAGTGCCTAGTCTAGGATCTGGCACAAAGCAGGCACTTCACAAATGAATAGTAAATGAATGAGAAATTTCTCTCTTCTTAAAGGGAGCCAAGAGGTGTTAAAGAGAAAGAGCTAGGAGTTAGAGTGCAGCGCCGACGCCTGAGTGTCCTCACAGCATGGCCTCCCTGGAGGCTAAGACACCAAGGAGATGAGAAGCTTGCATGAGCTCCAAGAGACAAGACGTTTCCACTCAGATTCCTTTTCTTCTTGTAGGACTGCACAGGAAGAGCAGTAGACTGGGTGCCAGAGAGCTCACTGCACAGCACTGGGCTGCAGGGAGGAGCTAAAGAATCATCTCTACAAGTCTTTAAAAACAGGGCAGAGATGTTGGTTTGAGATTCAGGAACTGAAATGTCCAACTGTCCTTTATGCCAAGGCATGTGATCACACAGCTAGATACAAGTAGAGGCAGCCATCAAGTGCAATGTCCCAGCGTTAAGACGCTTATGTCTAGGGCTGAAGAGATGGCTCAGTGGTTAAGAGCACTGGCTGCTCTTACAAAGAACCCTGTCTCGATTTCCAGTACCCACATAGCAGTTAACAACTGTCTATAACTCCAGTTTCAGGGGATCCGACACCCTCTTCTGACTTCTGAGGGCACTGCATGACACAGGTGCACCTACCTACATGCAGGCAATATACTCACATACATAAAATAAAAATAATAAATAAAGCCGGGCATGATGGCACACGCCTTTGATCCCAGCACTTGGGAGGCAGAGGCAGGCAGATCTCTGTGAGTTCAAGGCCAGCCTGGTCTACATAGTGAGTTCCAGGACAGCTGGGGTTACAGGGAGACCCTGTCTCAAAAAGACTAAAAAAAAAAAAATTTTTTTTTAAAGAAATTTATTCTATACCACTTCTAAAGAACGGTATATTTTGCCTGGGTTGGGACTGGCCTATAACTGGCCAACAATAAAATTGTGGGCATCTAAACTATTCGGATCTGCTGTTTTCAGAACTGAAGAGTGATTTAAATAGAGTACTTAGGTGAGTCACTGAAGAATGCTGCCATGTTTCTTTTCCTGGACCTTTTGATGAAAAGCTTATACAGCTACTTTTCCTGAATGCATCACATAAACATGCATCTGAACACCACACGATCATTTAATGCCTTAGCATTACTTTTTAACTAAATTGAAAAGTGTGCTGTCATATTAGCAAAAAGGGTATAAAACTATGAAATATATAAAACAAATGGGCTTGTTATAAATAAACAAATAAATAAATAAATAAATAATTCAATTTTGCCATGAATCTGACTTAATTCTCCTGGTTGGAAACTCTTTGACTACTTCCAGGTCTGAATAACAAGAAATTCTAGGCCATGAGCTTGAACTATGCCCGGTCCCTAAGGGTGTGCTCTTAGCAACTTTGTGCAAGGTGACTCTCTGAGCAGTTACAGATGTCAAGATGGACATCTGACCTAAATCCAGAGCCTTTGCTATAGGGATTGAGAACAAGAGAGAGCTAGCTCATCATGTGGAAGAAATATTAATATATAAATCTGAGAGCTAGCCAGTGTCTATATTGTGTCATTATATTAAAATGTGCCAGAGAAGTAAAGGAATTTAGTACTCAAAGAAAGAGTAGAAATAGGCACATGGAGAGCAGAGAGGTGGAAACCAAACATTCTCTGTCCCTAGGCCTTTCTGACTCTGTACTCGGCTTCCTTTCTGCTGGCCTCTAGAGGTCCAAGACTGTACCAGCCTTGACCTTCCAGTACTCCTATGTCCTCTCACTTGCACCCAGAGATGCAATGCCCCAGCCTGGCCCTCATCCCTTCTTAGAGATGGGCCCAAATCCTCACAAGAGGTGGCTTACCATCTCTTTTCCATCAGCCAGATGTCACTGTTGAAGAAATCTGGAAACAAGTGTCCACAAAGCTAAAAAAAAAAATTTCCTCAAGTGTTTTGACATCCGAAGCTTACAGCATCTTGTTGGTGAGAGTTTGTTTAGCTTTCAAAAAGTTTAAAGTGCAAACGTAGTTGGAAATGGCATTCAGCTGTATACTTCACAGAGGCTCAGAGAAACAAATCTTAATTAGGCAAGAGTAATGACTAAATAACATTAAGGGCAGTCATTTACCAAGTATACTTTCCAAGATTCTCATCCAGATCCAAAAAGAAATTAGCAGGTGGCACAGGAGAAAGGAAGGCAATGTGGCATGAGTGCAGGTAAAGAAGACGCGATTACACCGAATGCAGTCACTGAACTGCTGCGGTACGTGGATCTCACTGAGACTTCTTCCTTCCACTAGGGCTCATAACAGAACCACCATATCTGCAGACACAGCAATGGCAATTTACAGTGATGTACCATCAATACATCTGCTAAGTTCCAGCTCTACGATGCAGTGGCTACGGTGGAATTTGTGACCTGACACATACAAGGATGGAGAGTGGTATTGCTCTGGTGTGAAGGAAAGGTGTGTTGTTTTTTTTGTTTTTTAGTTTTTTATTTTATGTGTACACGTGTATTGCCTGCATGTAGGTAAGTGTACCCGTGTTGTGCAGTGCCCTCGGAGGTCAGAAGAGGCTGTCGGACCCCCTGGGAATGGAGTTTTGGACAGTTGTTAGCTGTCATGTGAGTGCTAGGATTCGAACCCAGGTCTTCTGCAAAGAACAACCAGTGTTCTTAACCGCTGAGCCATCTCTCCAGCCCTGTCTTGCTTCTTCTGTTGGCTCACAACACCACATGCCAGAACAAGCAAGACACTGACTGAAAACTGATTATCGAAAACAGAGCAGAACACTCCTTCACACGACTCCTACACAACAGAGTGTGCAACAGAAGCCATGTGGGGGCATTTGGACAGCAAGAACTCTTGAGGCTAATATTAACTAGTACTGGCACGTGCCTCAGTAGAAGTTAATACTTACTACAGATCTGAAAAGACAGCTGTGCCCAAGGTATGAAAGGTCAGCTACCAGAGAGGAGGCTGGGTATTTTAGGAATTTGGAGAAGCAGGAGAAGCTGGCGCTGCAGGATTCCACTCCACTCTATGTCCAAAAGCACCTTTGATCCTCCTGTCACCTTACGTAATACCCACAATCCCTTGAACAAATGAACAAAGCCAGCTTATGTGTTATGTCCAGAGAAATCAACCATGCATATTGGGATCAAAATCTTCTACTGTTGTGATGGTCCAATTATAAATAATATAAATATATAAATATTCATATTCATATTCCTCAGTTTGTAGCCCAGGTTGAGGAACTTAAGTGATCTGTAGCAATATGAGCTAATTCTCTTTACAAAATTAATACTGGAGCAGCTCTTAGCAGCAGTCACAAGCAGTTTCCAGCCCAGGGAAAAGAAGAGCTCCCCAGTTCCGAGTCTGGCCAGGGCCCAGACAAGTCCCAGGGGGCAGATCAGAGTCCTGTTAATTTTCCTGCTGCAAATGCAAGCCTTGAAATGTCAATTCTCTGAAGTCTTTTTCCACTTAGGACCATTATTAAATTTTATCAGGTGTGGTGGCACACGCCTTTAATCCCAGCACTCAGAAGGCAGAGGCAGGAGCATCTCTGTGATATTGAGCCCAGCCTAATCTACATAGTGAGTTCCAGGCCAGCTGGGGCTACAGGGAGACCCTGTCTAAAAAAAAAATTAGTTATGTTTCCCTAATAAGCAATGTAGAAGGGACAGAAGCGCAAAGGAGCAAAATTAAAACTAGCACACTTAAAAAGAAGTAACAGGTGACTATGGTCTAAAACATCCTTTTCTATCTTCCTCCACCAGACAGAAAAAAATGCTACCTTTGCAAAGTATACATTTGAAGAAAATGCTCTTTGTGAGTGCTGGAGCAGAGAGGAGAAGAGCCCATCGTTTGTTCTGCTTCCTACCCGATCTCATTGGTCAGAAGTAAAAGACACAGAAATGAAAGCAAGAGAAAAGTGATCAAGAAAGGACGAACTGGCGAGCAGTGGGCAGGGGAGCCACTGGCATGGTGCAAAAAGGAACTGACAAGCACAGATCGCCAAGCTCCACTTCTGGTGATGCCGTAAGTGCTGCTCCCCAAGAGAAGCAGGAGAAGCTCTCTGAAATGCCTGTCTTTTGTTCAGACATCTGTCCCATGTCGTATGATCAAAGCACACAGAGATAAAACTTCTGATGAAGCCACAAAGAAGTTTACTTTTCTCCATAGGCCCCAGATGAATGAAGAGTGAAAACAAAGTTTTCAGACATGAATTTCCATGCAGAATAATTCCGTGTCAAGTTGAACCTCACCAATTCTGGGCCAAAGAAAATGACTCTTTCAGCGTAAAGTATACATGCACTGCTCTCCAAGATGGTTTTGCCTTTGAAGCAAAATCAAACCAACCATCCAACCAACCAAACAAATGAGAAACAACCCTCAAGCAACTTGTATCCAGGTCTTCAGACAGAAAATAAAAAGGGAGAAAATAAAATGTGAGTTTTGTCTCTTCTAAGCAACATGGAGCCTCCAATGGCAAAACATTTCTGATACCAAAGGCTGGAGTGAACCTTCTTCCTCTCTAATCTTCTAGAATCCTGTCAGACCTCACAGCACTGGCCCACAGGGAACGGGCTGAAGTCTCTAGGAGAGCAATTCTGCTGTAGGGAGTTGAGAACTGGAGACTGCTGTGGGAGTTGCAGACTCTGTATCAGCTCCATGGGTGCTCTCTGAGATAGTTAACCTTGACTGCTAACTTGGCAAGATTTAGAATCACCTAAGACAAATTGCTGTGTGTCTATGAGGATGCTCAGGGAGTAACTGAGGTGGGAAAACCCATCCTGGGTATGGGTGGCACCAGTCCATGGACTGGGGTCGTGGACTAAGAAAGGAGGAAATCAGTGGCACACCAGTGTTTATCTGTTTGCTGACTGTGAACCTGTATGACCACTTACCTCATGCTCCTGCCGCCATGCCTTCCCACCACAATGAGACAATATAAACCCTTATTTCCTTAAATTGCTTTTGTCAGGTATTTTGAACTAGAAAGAAAAGTAACTAACACACTCTTGTTTCCCTTCTATAGTTTTGGCAGTTTTGGCAAAAGCCTATAATCCAAATTATAAACAGGAGCATGGAGAGCAAGCACAATTTCATTAACGTGGTATACAGGATTTGGGTTTTACTGAGGAGCACTATGTCCCAGATCTACAACCTGGAATCAAAATAACTGATTTTTCATCAAGAGATGGACCCAGAGCCAATGATGCACACATAGTGCTCCCACCTGGAAGGAAACTTGGGTAACTTACAGGTAGGAATAGGACACCAGCCCTCTGGGGAATGACAGAGACGTTTAGAACAGGAGGCTCTCCATGAGGAGATGCCAACAGCCGAGTTTCTCTTACTAACTCTTAACAGTGAGAATGGAGAGCAAAAGGATTGGAATTGGAAGTCACACTTGAATGGGAAACTTCTTACTGACAGTGATCTTTACTCCTTTTACTGTCTTTAACGTTAGTTTCCATCCCAGCTAGCTTCCCAAAGCCAGCTCAGTTGGGGGTGCTTCCAGAAGTAGGAATTTGAGAATCTATTTCAAATTGTGAGCTGATGTCCAAATCTTGATACAAACCTTTTGTTGGGCTTAGGTTTCTTTTTTGTAATAGTAGCTGCCTCTAGTACAATCACTGAAGCTGTACTGTTGTGGGCCACACACTGTAACAGACACTACATATTTATACACACACATGTATGGCTAGAGTATTAAGTAAACTGGTATCAGGCAAGAATTACTTTGCATAAATGTCCTGGTCAAAAGTCAACCCTACAGCAGAGACAAAAACAGCAGCAATGAGCCAGGCTAGAAACAGCATCTGCTGCCCCAGTTAGTGAACAGAACACAGCTTTCCAATTTAATTCTGGAAGAGAAGTTTTGAGATCACAAGAACATAGAGAGACAGATGCCTTGCAGAGTGTACTGGGGGTAGTGAACAGAAAACATGGAATCATATTTAAAAGGGGCCAGAGGAGAAGAGACCAAAGGGAAAAATGGAAGTAAAGATCTGGCATTCCTGCTGTCTCAGACGAGGCCTGCCTAAGGGTTTACCATCCTGGAGGCTCCTGGTGAACTGCACCCCAATCTTCCATCTCCTTGCGGCCTTTGTGCCCCTTTACCAAGGATATTTAGATGGTGTTTCATAGAGGGTAAAAGAAATTAACTTCTGAGTCAGCAATGAGATCAGAATAGGAGGCCTATGATCTTGGCAGCCCTGTCTCTTCAGAACCAGGGTAGAAAGCCTGGTCTCTAGGGAGACTTCCTTAATACCTCTGAACCCAACTAAAGTCTGAAGAGCAATAACAGCTTTTTCCTCTGCCAGGTAACTGCTAGTCTATCTTAGATTTGAAAGGCTGACTAAATATTTTTGCTTCCAGATTTCAAGACTGATTTTTACAGAGATACATATTACCCAGGTGCAATGATTTCAATTAAGGAACCTTAACCTGAGGTTCATGGATGGGTGTTGGCGAGAAGGGGTGTCTGTGAACTTTCATCTGAGGCTCAAAGAGAGCAAAAACCTTCAAGAGGTTTAGAACCACTGGACTAGCTCAGCGAGGCAAAAGAAAAGGGCAAAATTTTTAAAGAGACTGGCATTTAACGGCTTCTCAACCCTCTCGTTCCTTTAGCCCCCTCAAGTTTCTGTGCCTTTTGTTTGCATCTTACCTTTGTAAAATCAGTACCTGCATATGCTTTTGCTGGGATTTATGTTTGAGAATTATCCCTGAGTGTACGCACAGTAGATGGCTACTGGCTGTCATTCTAGCGGAGCAGAGGGCAGGACACAGCAGATGGCGATTGTTAAAATTCGGCTCACTAACTCCAAGGCTTTTTAATTTGCCTATAATTCTGACTGGTTAGCTGGGTAGGTCACTTCTTTAATTAAATGATTGCATTAGTTCAGTACCAGTAAAAGTATAATTCTTTGAAAAGCATGCTATTGGCAAACCATGCTGTAGGAAGCCTAGAATCACAGGCAATGGAATGATAGCAAATGTGAACGTCACTGTAATTCCATGAGGCCACAATTCAAATGATTTATGTATAAAGGGACAGCTTACTCCATGACAACTTTCTTCAGGTTTTGTGAAATACAAGGGGTTCTTAAGCAAGTGCTTTTTCAAACGCATGGATGGAATGAGGCTGCATGCCTGGCAAGCACGGTCAGAAGTCTTCCTAGAGACCAAAGTGCCATTCTAGAGACTGTTTCCTGGGGAAAGCATGCAGAGTGCAAGGCCGTATCAAATGTGCTGACACCAGTTTAGAATGTGGTAGGCAAAAGGAATGGAAAGAAAGAGGAGATGCAGCAAAATCAGTCTTGTGCACACATTTTCTCACCTGGAATTACAGAGATAGTTTTCAAAGCTCGGAGAACCCTGAATGTTCTCAGCGCTGAGACATTGCCCAGGTCCACAAACTCTGTCACATATCTGTAGTAAGGGAGGTCACACACAGACACAAATGACAAACACAGACACAAACACAAACACCAAAGGAGAAAACAAAACCACAACAAAACAAAAAGTACAATACGTCACATTAGGGCCCTAACCCAACACCTAACACCAACCCCGGGCCATCTTACCTGGGATTACCGAAATAGTTTTCAAAGCCCTCAGTACCCTGAAAGTGCGTAGAGCTGAAACATTGCCTAGGTTTACAAACTCTGTTATATACCTGCAGAATCAAACCAAAGTTAACTTGTAATGGTACCACTGGGTGAGGGTTTGAGAATGGGGGCAAGAAAGGGTCTTATATACAAACTATGATTTCATTTTTTTCCCTGAAAAAGAAAAATTTCAAAATATGAACATTTAAGGAACACATCTTTTTTAAAATGGGCAAGAAGAATTCAAAAGCATATTCTAAAACACAGATAAACCAGAAGACTCCAGGCTTTTTCCAGGGTTTACTCTCTTAAACGTGGTGGTGTGCTGATCCCTCAGAATGACTTTACTGTGAACGCATTTATATTAGCATAAAGGAAGGTCATGAGGTAGCAAAGACTTATTTTCCCAGTTTGTGAACAGTTCCCTAAAAAACGGAAACAAAATTTTAAAGCAGGAGCCCCACAAAACAAATCTACATTAAAGTAGCTCCCCAGGGGACAATGGCAAAATGCCTACACAGCAGTGTCTACGACTTCTCCAGGAGCTGTATGCATTATGTGCAGCCATGTCTACAGATGAAGTGTTATCCTGTGACAGACAAAAGCAGGGCTCAGAGAAATACAGATCATATGATCAAAGCAAATACTGAGCTACATGCCCATTTTGTCACCAGCAATGTGTCTAACAAGGACACCTAGATTTTAAAGGCATACTAATGCGTATTTCATAATGCCAGAACTAGAAACTCTCTTCACATAACTGAAAGTCATTCCATAACTGAAAGTCATACCATTTAGCCACATCCCATGATGGTACTACATCTTTACCTGGTGCTCAGACCCACACACATGCAAATGCTCTGTTCCTCTCACACATCTCCCTGCACATGCACAAAACCACACAAAACCCACCATACAACCACAAACCACAGAGCACTTTCTCAGCATGGAAATAAAAATGCCACAACCTGCTCTAACTCTTGTATCATTGGCTAAGTTTTCCAAAAAGATACTTTTCACAGTTGAAGCAACACACCCATGGGAAGTTACATGGTCACTAGCAAGAGTTTTAAGTTTTGGTCAATTACTTTTCTTGAAGTGCTGGTTTGGGACCTTTGGATTGCGTTTTAATTCAAAAGCCTCATAAGCCTTTGGGCCAAAGGTATATCCTATTACAGCAAAAATATTTTATGTTTTTATGGAGGCCTCCTAGTGACGGATGTGTGAGTCTTGGTCAATATTATCAGGGAGAATAAACTCTGAGGGAGGAGTGTCCATAGGATATCACTCCCTACCTTCCTTCCCAATTGTAAAGCTTCTGCTTACTTTCCCCTACACAAATATGTTGCTGTTCAAAGCTGAGAAGGCATCCCAAGCAAGAACCACAGTCAAAAGCCCACAGGTCAGGCATGGCTAACCAAGAAATCCCCATTCTGGAACCATGTATAGGGGTACATGCCTATAATTCTAGTATTTGGAAGGCAGAGGTAGAAGATTAGTAGTTCAAGGCAGCCTCGACTATATGGTGAGTTCAAGGCCAGCCTGGGCTACATGAGACCCTATTCCCAAAAAGAAAAAAAAATCTCCATTTTGCTGAGCTCATACATTCACACTTACTTGCATCATCCTACAAGCATACTCAGGAATAACAAACACACACTCACAGTCACAGCCCCAAAACCAATAAAATAAGCAAGGAACTCACGCCATCATGATGACACTGAAATCTAACCAGTTCCATGGGTCCCGTAAGAAGGTAAAGCCATCTATGCAGAAACCTCTTGCAATGATTTTCACTAGTGATTCGAATGTGTAAATCCCTGTGAACGTGTATCTGCCAAAGAAAAGGATAGCTTGAGGTTATTTCTGATAGAAACTTTCAGTGAACTTTTTAAGATAACTCATGTCTGAGATGTGGCTTCAACTAACACAACAAAACAGAAAGGGCGTAGCCAGTGCAGTCGGACGGCAGTGAAAGGGTGTCGGCTGAAGCTTACTGGCATGTCCATACCAGAACCCAGAATACTGCACTAGGGCCTGAATGATGCCCCAAAGAAATAACCCTATGCTGCCACCTAGCACAGGATCACCCTGGAGGGAAAAAACAGCAGACAAACAAATAAACAAACAAACAAGGGAAACCTCAAGATGGAGAAAGTACTATCAGTAACAGAGGACGTGGGGAGGAGGGGTGCATAGGCAAAAGCCCCTTAGAAGGTGGAGGGCAATGCTTCCCAGAGCAGAATGGCTCTTTCTAGCGTTCATTTCCAGGCTCTCTGCTTCTACACCTATCTTCAGCTCTCTCAGTAAGACATCCTGGCAGTAACTATTTTTTTCTCCACAAACTGTGGTAAAACACAATGAAATTCCTTATAAAACAAACAAGCAGACAAATAAAACCACTTACTCCACATTCTTCGACCAGTCAGGAGGGTTACTAAAAGTCATGAATACACAGTTGGTCAAAATAGTGCACATAATGATCATGCTAAATACTGTAGAGCAGAGTTAAGGGGGTATACAAAGTCTGGCCTGTCTTTTTTCCTGGATAACAAATCCATTTTGCACTGGGTCTCAGGAGATCTAAATCAATAGGTTAAAAGGAGACCAAGCACAGGAGAAGGAAGGGCAACGTGATAAGGGAAGCTGGTGTTACCATAGCAACAAGGGAAGCCCTGGGTGTCCCCACCCAGGGTGGATGGGGCAGGATGGCCATGCTCCCTTCCAAACACTGTCACTGTTCCATTCCTTTTGGATAAAAATGTCACTTTTCACTATGGGTGATACTCTATAAATACTTAAAACTTCATGAATAGGAACCAGAAGCAACCAAAGACCCCAAGGCCATCAGAGGAGAAAATCAATCTCTATTTTCTCATTGCTAATTATCTTGTATAATTAGTTATCTGAAAATCTACATGCAATTAATTTCCCCTTGGGTCTTCCAATGGGCTGAATTATCTCTGGGAGCAAAGGGCCAGCCAATATGTCCCACCTGGAAAACCAATGTGGCATGCTAGGTACGATTTCAAGGGCATCAGTACCCCCAGACCCCTGGCAATCAGGTGATGAGCCAAGTCAGTCTGATCCTGAAGGTGCCCACTCCATCCAGGGTCTTTCTCAGCCCCTTCTGTTCTTGTCTATGGAGACAAACAAAACTGTTTCAAGGTCAGCAGGAGTTACTCAGACTCAAACTGCATTGGAGCCATGGCTCATTTGCTCTTAACTCTCCCGCTCTCTCTCTTTTGTCTTAATGGCATTCCTCATCTTTATTTTACCAGTAATTTTTAAAAAGAAAAGAAGTGCACCTTCCAGTTGGAGTTTTTTCTTCACTACAGGTGGGTTTTTCATTGGGGGACAGTAACATACTTTTTAGAGAAAAATACATGCCATCTCTGACTCAGAGAGGAAAAAAGCCACTGCAAATGATCTATTTCTTGTAAACCTCCCTACTTCAGAACGACGCTGTTTGAAAACTACAGATTCCAGCATCAAAACGCTAAGTTCCCAGAGTTCTGATGTGGCAGAAACTCCATGAACTCAACCACTGAGTTGCAACTACTGGTTTCCTCATCCTCCCTGGAGGATGCCATACTCTCAGAAGCAAAGGACTAAGTACTATTAAATTAAGTGCCAACCATGCAAGTTTGGTCACTGTGTCAAGTTGCTAAGCCCATCATACATTTGTCATGTGTCATATGTTCTTCTCTATTAACAGGATGGAAAGGTTGGCATTTTCCTACTTAAGGGGAAGGAAAATCCCAGAGAAGATTCCTATTTATCCCACAATCTGCATCTAAACTTCTGTGCCAAGAAGGTGATTTCATTTGAAATTTATCTGATACTTTCTAAGCTTGTTGCTCAAGAAAAAAAAAAAAATCAGAGCAGAGCTCTAAAGCATTCATTCAGCTATTTGTAATTCAGAAGCAGTTTTCACAAACTTCTTTTAACAGCTCTTAATACATTAAGAAGCTGCACAGTCTACCATGGAATGAAATGACTAAAAGCCAAAACTTCAGTAAAAGGTCACATCTTAATTTGTCCCTCTTAATGATCCCAACAAAAATTTAGACTTCAGTGATGTCCTTAAAAACAAAGTCTGCGGAAGCTCATCTTGGGACCCAGCAGAACTTCCCTTTTCAGGCTGGGGGAGGGGTGGGCAACTGCACGACTGGCAAGATGCTTAGAACACAATCAGCTATCAAACGCTCAAACACATGCAAGCAGTCACACCCCGGCATGCTCACACATGCAGAAAAGGATATGAATGTATCAAAATTTTAATAGCTATTCTTCTTATCAGGTTAAAAGGACTTAAAATGTACAAGGCAGGCGTGGCACTAAATCTGAAGAGAGTTTTCCCTCTGTTTAATACTACAAAGGTCTGTGGAGAAAGAAAAAGAGAGAAATCATTAAAACACATTGATTAGTCATCACACAAACAACATTTTTCTAGGTAAGAAATAAACTCACTCATTTTATTCACATTTAGTTTTTTGTTTTGTTTTGTTTTGTTTGTTTTTTGAGACAGGATCTCCCTATACCCCAACTGGCCTGGAATTCATTGTGTAGAACAGGCTGGCCTTGAACTCACAGAGATCCACCTGCCTCTGCCTCCCGAGTGCTGAGATCAAAGATGTGATCTCTACCACATCTGGCATTCACATTTAGTTTTTAAGAAAATAACCTTTAAGCAACATATCTTCCTTTCCCTCCCCTCCCCTCCAGTGCCCAGTCTCAGACTGTTACAAACAGCTGCAACACTCTTAGCAGACTTACATGTGAATGATACTAAACTATCTATGTCAGGTCTGAATACCGAACTTCATTAATTTAGATTCATCTTCTCCAGGAGCTCTGACTAAGCAGTTGCAGTGCTCAGGAGTTGCCTGTGGACAAGGCAGTCCAGATCTGAGGAGCTGATGTTCCAAGTGGGAAGGCAACAGGTAGCATAAGGAGTAAGTCAACCATGCTGGCTGTGGCAGCGTGAAGCATACTGGGAAGAGGAAGGCAGGGAGAGGACAGGTGTGCTGAGGCATGATGAATGAATGGAGGCGGCCATTTGTAAGGCGGTGGTAAGCCGATTGGGTAGAGAGAGCTGGGAAAAGGCTGGGAGGAAGCAAGGAGGGTGCTTCATTCAATATTTCCTCACCAAGCCAGCTTTCAAGTGCTTCCAACACCAGTCTTGCCAAAATCATTCAATTGTATTTCCCAGCACGAATCTTCCTATCAAGCCAAACTAGTTCATGTCCCCAGAAAAGGTTATAGTAATACACAACTCTGGTCTTTATTTACCCAGCTCATTCTACTTAGACTGCCTTGTCCCGAGAATTCAATTCAAGTCTATTCATTTTAAAGCATCTATTCTGTGCCTAGCACTGTACTATGCTAAAGAGACACAAACTTGAGAAGTATACTTTAAGGGAAGACATATATGAACTCATAATTATGATGCTGCGTAATCAGGAAGCTCAAATCAAAAAATATGAGAGGAGCAGCACAGAGGAATTTTCTCCTTTCAGCAGGCAACTAAAGGAGAGTGAGCCAGGATGCGTTCACAGAGGAATAGAAATTGAGAGAATGTCATTGAGTAAACAGGACAGGGATGGCCAGGAAAGGGAACAGCATGGCATGTACATAACTATGAGTTGTCTTCAGGGTGTTGACAATTCTGTATTGATAGAGGTCAGAACTGGGCAGAGGACAGCACCTGTGGTGCTGAGGAGAAATGCAGGGCCTACAGAGTTGGGAGTCCCTAAGGAGGCTAGGCCAGTGACAGACACAGAGAGCAAATGGCCAAGTGCAAGTCACTTTAAATAGTTTTAAAAAATTGTTTTTATTTAGAATGATGTATGCTTATAATTTAAAAATATATAAGTTCAAGGCCAGCCTGGTCTACATAGCGAGTTCTAGGACAGCTGGGGCTACAGGTAGACCCTGTCTCAAAAAGACCAAAAAAATAAAATAAGTAAATAAAATATATAAGATTAGGTTCATTTCATTTTATTACCCCAATCAATGATAATCTTTGCTACCAGTTTTTTATATCCTTCCAAAATTTTCTTTTATAAACATTAGCACAGAGATCTATTCTTAAAAAGTCTCTCCCTCAAATGAGTTTGTTCTATAAATACTCTTCTGCACCATGCATTAAAAAATGCACCCCCACAAAGAAAAGCCCAGGGACCAGATGGTTTCACTAATGGATTCTACCAAATGTTTAAAGAATTAACATAAACTCTTCCAAAAAAAAAAAAAAAAAAAAGGAAGAGAAGGGAATACTTCCCAGCTCATTTTGTAATGTTAGTTTTGCCTTCATACAAAACCAGATAATGATATCACAGGAAAAGAAAATTCTAGACTAATCTATTTATGAATACAGACACAAAAGGCCCCAACAAAAATACTAGCAACCAAATCTAGCAGCATGTGAAGGCCTGAGGATCCTGACCAAGTGGGATGTATCTCAGAAGTGCAAAGATGATTTGCCATAAGAAAATTAATGTAACACAGTATGTTAATACAAAGGAAAAACCCACATGACAATCTGTATAGACTCACAAAAGTCTTGAACAAAATCTAACATCCTCTCATAATAGAAACAAAAGCGTTTCCTTAAGCTGATTATAATTTTCTGTCAGAAACCCACAGCTAATATCTCCGCCTTTCCTCCCAGCCCTTCCTCCACCCCTCTTTGTAAAACTAGGCTCAAAGCTCCTTGAGGGCAGGATCCAGTCTCATGCTTCCTTGGGCAGTTCCAATATAGGGCTCAGTCCTCGCAGACCCAAAAAATAGCTGTTGGCAGATTATTTCTTTTTTTAAAAAATTTTTATTTATTATTTTTTATGTGTATGTGTGTATTGCCTGCATGTAGGTAAGTGCACCCGTGTTGTGCAATGCCTGCGGAGGACAGAAGAGGCTGTTGGATCCCCTGGAACTGGAGTTACAGGCAGTTGTTAGCTGCCATGTGAGTGCTGGGATTCAAACACAGGTCTTCTGCAAGAATAGCCAGTGTTGTTAACCACTGAGCCTTCTCTCCAGCCCTGGCAGATTACTTCTCAAAGTGCCTTTCCTCTCATTTTCTATTTTATCCTTTCCTAGTCTGCCCCAGCTACCAATCTCTTCCCAGTAGAAAAGCAAGGTTGGAATTTCCCCCTAGAAATGTCCACTTGCTCCATACCATGTTTGATACTGCACCACCACAATACTTTTCCTACACTAGAGAGTGCTGATTATGGTGCAGTGCTCTGCAGAAAAAGCCTCATCCTAAAGGCAAGAGAAACTAGATCTGAGGTTAGCCTAAAACAGGTCAAGGGCAACACTTTGGCTCTTCCATTTCTGGCTTCCAAAGAAATAAACAGGCCACGAGATTCCTTCTTTCTGAAGTACTTATACCCCTCTGTGTTTCTATAGCAACTCTCTCTGTGAAATGCCAGGTCTTTCAAATAACCTCCTTATTCAACCTCATAATATTCTTGTAAAGTATGGATGAAGGAAGGATTATTAGTTTGCACGCATCTTACAAAAGTTCAGGAGATGGACGCCACCTATAAAGGTCACTCAACAAAGAGCAATATATTGTACCAAGCTCAGAGTCTCTTTATAGCTGCTATTGTGCCAGATTGGATGGTAATTTCATGACTACATGGCAGAGCATGAAGATGGCATGGGGGATGGATTCTCCAGTAAATGGTAAATTTGAGCCCCTGAGTACACTACATAAAGTCACTAAGAACGGTGGAAAAAGCACTGGTCCATGTCCCAGGACCTAAAAACCACCAGGCCAAGTCTATCCACCTTAAGAGACAGACAAGAGGACTTTAAAAAGAACCTACTCTCTTCATCCTCCATCTCTCGTGTCTCTTAGTTTGGTCCTGATGGAAATACAGGGCTAATATATAGATGTTTCCCATTATGGAATCACTGCCTACACCCAGAAAGTGCTCAATAAATGTTTGCCAGTTGGTTAATGAACGGGGCTATGTTACCTGAGATGAGAGAAGAGGAAAAAGAAAGAGAAGACACTGGGAAGATGAAACTTCATTCTATTGAGAAGCTCGGATTCTGAATTAGTACAGTGATGAGCTGGCAAGTAGAAAACTGATCCTGAGGGAAACTAGGTGCTGTTAGTGAAGTTAAAAACTATGGGTTTGCAAATAGAAAGGCTTTACTAGGGGCATTTCATTTATGAATTACATAATTTTGAGGCAATTTGGATACAATATTGCACACTGAGTTCAAATAATTTATCATTACCTCTTTTCTAAATCCTTTATCTTCATCATGGATGAAAACATGTTTTAATCCCAGCACTTGGGAGGCAGGGGCAGGCAGATCTCTGTGAGTTTGAGGCCAGCCTGGTCTACACAGTGAGTTCCAGGCCGGCTGGGAGACTCTGTCTCAAAAAGACAAAAAAAAGGAAAGGAATAATCATGTAGTGCACACCAAACTTCCTGAAGTAAATGTGCATCCTCTCTACACTTGCAGTAATGAGTTGCTCTATAATTTATCAGTAAAATAATTTGATTTACTGATAATTTACATGTAGTATTTCATACACATGCCTTCTGGATAAAGCAAGATGGTATTTGGACCAACACAAGTGCTCAAAGCTTAGGAATTTCCCAGTGAACACTGATGCCTACAAGGCTTATGTGAGACAGAATATATCCACTGCTGGCAAGCTTTGTCTGTAAGTGCAGAGGTGGTGAGTACTGTGGGCTGGGCAGGCTGTACAGTCACTGTTGCCACAGCTCAACTCTGCCACTGTGGTGCAGAGAAGTTATTAACAACAAGTAAACGAACAGGAGCAACTGCATTCCAACAGAACTTTGCGGACACAGAAATTTCATGCAGTTTTTCACACATCTAACTATTCAGGAATAGAAAAACCATACTTAGCTTGTGGGCCATACAAAACCAGATGGCAGCACTGATCTAGTCTGTGGTATAACTAGTACCAATTTCTGACTAAGGCCAGTCTGGTTGCACAGGAATCATCTGAGTAACTTTTTAAAAAACAGATTACTAAGTCCCACCTCCAGAGGTTCTGGTTAAATGAGTCTGCAGAAGAGGCCAGGGAATCTGCACCACCAGGGGACAGGTGGTCATTCCAATTTCATGTCCTGAAACACTTGGGGCCATCGCTACCTACCTTTCCCTAGCTGTGTGGTTGGATAAGCCACTGCATCTCCTGCATGTCACTTTCTTAATTTAAAAAGTGAGCGAGAAGGCCACTGGTTGGGCCTCGCTATTTGTGATGCTACAGTTGAGAAATTTTACAGGACATCCACTATGAAGTACATCAAAGCAGCCATAACTTTGAGAAGATCTATTATCATTAATTCTTCCATATGACATCTGGCCGAATTCTCAGGAGTTATT